GAATGAGCTGAAAACTACGGGTAAAGCCCTGCAGTGCCGCTACAGAAAAAATAAAAAATCGCATCCGATAAGTCTCTTCCCGATTCCCGTTTCGTACAATTTTTTCACCATTGTATTCACCACGTTATTTTTCATAGGTTGACTGGAAAAAAAAGCCCAACCGCGAAGGTGAGTTGGCAGAGCTGCCGCACCGGAAAATCCCACCATTGGTAAACCTATGTTTTTTGACTTTTTTTTGCCAACCGAGACCCCTTAACATGTTTTCTCGCATGCATGAGTACAAAACTAGCCGAAATTGGTCGAAACTAGTCAGAAATGGCTAGCCCGAGGCAAACCGCTGCCATGGGCGACGGTGCCACCGCCGCCGTGCCAGAATCCCAAAGAGGGTTTCTAACACTAATTTTGAGTTTTATGAGGGGTATTTCTAGGTACTTGGAGCGTGTTTTAATCCCCAAAGAAAAATTTAAGAAACCCGAGGACCGCAGTATGCGCAGTTAAAAGTTTAACATTTCGGACATCGATTCGAGTAAGAATCCATCACCTTATTCCCTGTCATGGAATTGAAATCTAATTATAAATAATACAGTATTTTACGTGATTTAGAAATATCGATAATTAAAAATTACTAATGGAGCTTGAACCGGTTATTTATTACTACTTGTCATGTTTTAATTGATTGATTGATTTTACAGTTTTGAATGCATGATAATATACTAGAATTTGTATGATGATTTGTTTGTGTCTCTTAATGCATGTATTGCTTGTTTTGTATGGTTCACAGTTAAATTGAAAAATTAAATGTAAACTAAAAATTGTTTGATTAACTGAATGGATGAATAGTAACCTTACTGGATATCATGGAAGATGGTGGATGGACCGGATACATAGGAAACTCTACCGTGAACGTTGCCTCATATCGGACGGGGTATCGAGAATTGGTGTTTTGGCACTCATACCGAAGAGGGTATGGGGACGGCTCGTTTCACCCTAATGTCGAATGGGGTATTGAGGGATAGTATTTTTGCACTCATACCGGATGGGGTATGGGAATGGCCGGTTAATTAAAAATATGGAATAAGGGTTTATGCGTAGTGGGGACATCCCTATGAACCCCCATGGATACTAGTATGCATATAAAAAAAAGGTGGTTATTCTGGTTAATTATACATGAGATTATGAGATTGTTTTTGCTATTGCTTCTATAGGTCGTTTTTGAAAATTTTACTATGATAAGTGTACAATAAATTATTTTACTTATGATAAATTA